ATATATATGTATTATATACTGTATTCTTACAATAAGCTAAAGAAAATGCTATTAAGAAAGATCATAAGGAAGAAAAAATACATTTATTGTATTTATTGAAAAAAAAAATCTGTGTATAAGTGGCCCGAGCAGTTGAAACCTGTGTTGTTGAAGGTCAGCTGTAATCACAGCACCTTAGAGATTTTGCTATCATAGCTTAGCATCTAGCACATTGGATACATGCAACAAATATTAGCTGTTATTATTCTGAGCATCACAACCTCTGCTCGGTGGACCATGAAAGGAGGTACAATTCAAGGTGATCAATTTTGTTACTGATGGATGAGTTTGGGGAGTGAGTTGAAGCTGATAGCAGGAAGCACAGTTTTGGTTTATGGAACAAACAGTCTACTACAGCAATCATAGGCCGTATTTATTATGAGTAAAATAATCGAGAGTGGGTTCTAGGACAATCGTAAATAGCGGACCCATGCCCCACTGGTGAGACTTCTTCATAGAAGCCCGGGAGCTTTTACACCAAAGCTGTAGGCTCTGCAGGCTCCCATCTCAGCAGGCACTATATCCAGCAAGAAATCAGAGCTTGGCTTCACAGAGCCAAGTTTCAGACCCTTACAATTCAGCCACTCCAGTGGATCTTTACCTAAATGAACATCACAGCTGCCTTTGCAACAATGAGCACTGCATCCCACTGTTGTGATACCATGGTGACCCGTCTTGTAAATACTGAGAACACCCTGGTACTGTAACTTCCTCTCTACAGCCAGCGTGAATTAGGGTTTCCTTTTTCTTCACACTGAGTCACCACCCGGGTTCCAGAACCCCAGAGAAACTGATGTTGCAGTGCTGTCACTGGCCTGGGGTGTCCTCCCACCTGGCCCTCAGCCCACAGCCTGACTATTTCATGGGCCACTGGTCATAATGGCCCAGGAGGTGCAGAGACCATGGGATGGCCTGGACGCCCCTCCAGTGGGAACATCTTTGTAACCTCAAGTAGCCCAATGCAGGGGACACAGGAAGCCTCAGTGAACATTTGTGCATTCGTGTACCTCAGCACAAGGCCCTCAGGGGACAAGAAATGCCAGGAAGCACCTGGAAATGGAAATCACCAAGCTGCTTGGGAAGGGAGAGAAGCCACAGATCCTCCCTCACCCCCTGCAGGCAACACCCTGCAACCTGCTTTGGACGCCATCACTTACCCAGGGCTCCTTGGCAGATGTCTGTGCGGGTGGCTCCTCCAACAATAAACTGGGGATCATCGCAGATCTCCTGGGGACGAGACCCACAAAGTGCTGTCAACCTACCAGGCATGTGCTTTTGCCGTTAGGACATCTCGGTTCCCAATGGGTACATCGGACCCCTTCTCCCTCTCTCTCCCCACCCCCAGGGAAAGCTTTGCGATTAGTTAGACTGACATGGGGGTCCCGATGGGTGTGGGGGACACTCCTGGCTGAGAAGGGGAGTCACTGCCCAATGCTCCCGCCTGCCTAGAGCCTACGTCATCATGCTACTTCCTAGGGCCACAGCGGCACGGAGTCCAGCCTCCTCTGGCGGGCATCGAGCCCCTCCCCACCTGGAGCTGTCCCGCCCGCCGCTGGTCCTTCTCCTCTGCTCCTGCATGGCAGCTTTTGCCTGCGTGGAACCCCTTCCTTTCCCACGCTGTTCTCTCCTTTTCTACACTTTATGTTTCAAGACCCACTGCCGCCTCCTCCACAAAGCCCTCCTTCATAGGCCAGATTCATCCCTGCGATTCTCACTCATCCCTGCGATTCTCAGTCCCAGCGTGTTTGTCCTCTGCCGCTTAGTATTTAGTTGTGTAGTCGGATGGTGCTGATGGGCATCGCTCTGTCCTCAGACACAAACGGCCCTATTTCTGAGGCCGGGGAATGCATCTAGCCTCCTGGGTTTGTCCATGGGCCGTGATCCGTGGGACATCCATATATTGTGGGCCTGCTGTCAGTAGTGTGCGTGGTGCCTTAGCTCGTGGGGCCCTCTCAGAACACGAGGTGGGTATCGTTTCCATGTTACAGGTGAGGACACAGGCTAAGGAGGTAAAGCAACGTGTCCAAAGTGACACTGCCCCTTCATTAGAAGCAGCACTGGGGCGTGGACTTCCTGGTGCAAAAGCATGTACTATTTCTGCCCCCGTGCCGCCTCTATTGATTATTAACAAGCCTCTATGGGTGTTCAAACCTCAGGGTTGTCCCACAAGTAGCAGCCTGACGGAAGCGAACCTTAAACAAATCTGGCCCGCTCCGCAGTGTTTCCTGATTCTGCAGAGCCCCACCCAAAGCCACAGAGGAAGTCGGGGCACCAGCCTGGGCTTCGCTCGGCCTGGGCACCCTCGTAGGAGCTCCACCCCATACCCTCCCTCCTCATGCCCCTCTTCACCAAGCAGAAGTGGTTCCTGGACGAGACCTGGATCTAGCCCGTCCGTCCTGGCTTAGATCACAGCTCTTCTGAAACCACAGTCTGCCCCAGAGCACATCCCTCTCAGGCCTCTGCATTGTCTCACCCCTGCTTAGGCGTCTGTTTGGGGGATGACAGGGACAAAGAGACAGCAAGGCAGCTTTTGTTTTGAGGCCTGCCAGCCAAGCACTTACGCAGCAGATAGAATGGACAGGGCTCGGTGCTGGGAGCCCAACACTGATATTGACAATCCTCAGTGCAGGGAATACTTTCCCCAGAAGGATTTTTCCATTATGTTTCAGAAACTTTGCCGCATCTTTGGCAGCCTCTCTGACGAAGGCAAAGTTCATCAGAGTGGAGCTTAGAGATGCTTCAGAAAACTGCACTGTGCTCACAGCATCTCGGGTATGGAATTAAATATGGATGTTACAAACTGAGGAAAGACGTTGAGGGCTCGGGCTTAGGACTCAGACAGCCTTGAGCTCGGCCGTTTACTATATGGGTTCGATGACCCTGCAAGTTATTTCTCTTTAAGCCTAAGTTTCCTCGTCTGTGAAGTGGGGATGATGATGACAAGAGTACCTATCACGTAGGGTTGTTATGAGGGTTGAATGAGATAACTAAGTAAATGTGCTTTGGTAAACACTCTACACATTACTTATTAGTTTTATTATCATTACTATTATTACTATTTTATAAGAAGTTGACGATGATCGTCACTGAACTTAGAGGCAGAAGATGCAGGGTTGAGGCTGAGTTCAGCCGGCTGAGGATACGCAAGTCAGAAAGCTCTCCGAGGCTCGGTTATCTCAGGACTAACAGCACTTGTCTTTGCTTGCACTTGACTGGGCCGTCCTTGGATTGTGCTGGCTTTCTCCTCACTGTGCCCCCTGCACCAGTGACTTTAGCCACTTCCCCGTCAGCCCCCTTCCCACCCCGGGATCTCTGTTACCAGTGTCGGGAAACCCCGTCTCTGAGGAGCAGCCTGGCCCTACTGTTCCATCATCTCCTGTCCGCCTCTGTTGTTAGACGCTTCCTTTCCAGTGACTCAACACCCAACACACTGTCATCTGAAACAACAGCCTCTCAAAACCCAGGTCCCTGTCTACCTCCCATGCTTCCTGTCTTTCCACAAAGCACCTTTCTGAAAGGACTTGACCAGATCCTTCATTTCTGGTTCCTTACTCTGGAGTCTACAGACATCTGGCTTCTACCCCACTGAAATCCTAGCCCACTGCAGTCGCTCTGTTAATGTCGCCATTGACTTGCTCATGTTTGACGCCAGTGGACACATTTTTGTTCCCCTGGCCTGACCCCAACCACAGCGGTGTGTGAGTGTTTGAGAAGGCAGGCCAGAGGCAGAGAGGGCTGTTGTGGGCTGCGGGCTCTAAACGCGCACAGGCTCGGCACAGTCCTGGTTCCACACGGGACACCTTTTTGAGCAAATATTTAACCTTTCCAA